AGTTAAGAGTAAAGATATAATAATTAAATATAAGCTGAGTATATAATGAGCATAGAAGAATAATCAAAAATAATACCAAAAAGACTTTAATTTCATATAAACTTTAACACCTAATAAGTATTTAAATAAAACATAAAAAATCTTCCTCTAGGTATATAGGCTGTGTATATCAGTTGAGCTGGATATACTTTGTTCCTATCTACCAAATTGCTTGCTATATTCTATATTTGTTTTTATAAGCTAGTCAAATAGAGCTATAGCTACTGTTATGCCAATTTGATTAAATCTGTTTTCGAGTGCGAAATATCTCTAATTTGATGGACAAGTCTATCCGAATTCTCCGCCACCTACGGTAAACAATATGGGATTAATAACGCCGTAAGCTACAGCCGCGATTAAACACATTACATATATAATTTAGCGAGTATAATAATAGGATAGAACGGTCTATATTGTGTGTGGGTTGTTTGTGTGTCACCTTTCTGTAGTCTTATCATAAGGCAACCTTAAATAACATTTAATAATAATGGCTCACATTAAAACCCCCCGCAATAACTGTAATCAAGTGAACTATATGCGATACGCCAGTTAACGATTGTGAATTCTCGTCACGAGTCGCTCGTGCCTAAAGTCTGTAAATATTTGCTCAAGAACGCATACATGGAATAGATCATAAATTATATATGCCGCAGTGCAGTAGACCAAAGGGAGATACCAAATGGAAAGCTGAAATAATTGTGGATGACAAAAACTAAACTCTTACACGACTGCTGCAAGTTTTCTAGTTTCATGAAACCCCTCTAAAATAATTTTAAGACGCCTCTGCATTTCAGTGGAAAGAAAGTACTTCACTTTTTATCTAAAAAAAAAAAAAACATTGCAAATACTTTTACATTCCAATTATCAAGGCAGACATAAACAAGCTTCAGATAATGCCAAGAGTTCAAGATAAAAACCGAATGAGAGCGAGAGAGTTTGTGGGAATGAGAGAGCGAGAGAAAGAGAGAGATGTAGAGAGAAGCAATAGCCAATCTACAACTGCCAAATAGACTCTGTGTTATCAAGTCGTCGACACAACATGGAAATTATGTTCGCCCCGGCTAAAATCGTCATAATGTGCAATTATCTCTTATCTGCAAGTCTAGCAGAATGCTTCATAGATGAATGGTGCCTACTTTAATTGCGATCGCCATAAAGGGAATCAACTTTTATGGCACACAGGCCGACTTTGCACTTGCCAAACGCGTGTTTCCCCCAGACTTTTGGGTTCTGAGTGTCGACTATACTTCAGATGTCTGGCCAGATGAAACACCATTTGCGCATTTGGGAAGTCATATACTTTGATATTTTCTACAATATATTTATGGCAAATTATATGACGAAAGCTGAACATTATATTAGGAGGCGGATCATAAAAGCGAAAACTAGAATTTATAATTTTATGATTCAAATCAAATAAACGAGCCTTAAGGTTATCAAGGGAAACAAGAGTAGGCAATTGAGATGAAAATCGAAATGTAAATATATATGATTATTGTTAGCAGCTCAACATTTGAACAACGCGTGTTTATTTAGGCCAAGACTTTGAGACTACTGGCCAGATGATATATAAATTTTGGTATTTTCCATGTTTATGGCACTTCAGATGCAATAACCAGAAATATCTGCAATTGTCTTTTATTGGTGGGGAGTTATAAAAAGACTAAAGAGTCTGGAAATTTGGAACTTTATGATCGATTTTTTTTGGCTTAGAGATTATGAGAACGAATCGAAGGTATTAATAATTAGTCGTTTATATATAAATATATATATATAAACAGCTGTATATAGATAGTTAGTTTAATTATTATCTATCCATCAAGAATATCCTTGAAATCTTAGCTGAAGACCTCTTCAGCGTGTTTTCGAGATCAACAATTAAAAAGTTTATGGCCAGTTGTTAAGTATCTAAGTAAACAATAAATTCAGCTGACGTCAAAGACCAAAATGCAATCGAAAATAACTGTACAAATAGATATTTTATTTGTTGCAGACAAATAGAAATCTCAAATTTATGATGTTTTATAATAAATCATGAGAGTGCAGAAAAGTATAGAACTCTACTCTAACTTGTTACTGTGCAGACATATATATGTATGTATGTAAAGCTACTCATAAATTAGATAAATATTATTACGATATGATATCACAAGCTATCAAACACCATATATGAATGGTAGTCTAGCTAGTTGTACTGGAGATATTTGATATAGAAATATACACATATATGTCTATAGGTATATACAACAAATAAGCCTCAACACATTGTCAAGGTGTCAAAATATTTACGGAAAGCCAAAGCAAATAATTGTCCAATATAAAACGGTGCAAATAAATGGCGCAAATATTTGCAAATAATTGAAAAATGATTAATTGGGCCCAATTCAATTAGCAGTTAAAACTTCGTTATGGCTTGTAGCGGACTTGTGACGTCCCTGGCTTACTTAGTGACGTCACAAGCCGTTGCGATCGAACTGCGAATTGAATCCGTAAGACAGCTCTAATAAAACCACAAACAGTGATTGCGCTATAAATGTGGTGCGATTCGAGTTGGACTCGAGTTGGACTACCTAGGAAGTCGATCGGTTAAGGTTCTCAAATTTCATTCGATATTGTTGTTGTTGTTGCTGTTGTTGCTGTTGCTGCTTGTTGCATATCAATGTGTCTTTAGGCCAAGCCACTTACTTTGGCAATGTGTTATTTTTGTATTTCTTTTACCAGTTTATCTGGTGTTTCTATCCATTTACAGCTCTAGATAAAAACAGATTTAAATTTAGAAAAAATGCGTCGAGTCATTGATCGAGTTCGAGGCTGAACTTTGCAGTCTTTTTGGCGTCTTCTGTTGGTCAAGTTGAATTTGACTGGTTGTTGTTGTTGTTTGTGTGTGTTGTTGTTGCTGTTATCGACTGGCAAGTTCGCCATAGAGTCTAATGGAAAATTACTGGAAATCTAGTTATACGGTTACGAAATGCAACGAGAGACGACCCAATGACTTTCCGCTGGTAATGTAAGCTATGTGGGTTTATCTCCAGTCTCAACTGCAGTTGCTCATGCAAGCTGAGTGCTAGTAATCCAGATATCTTTATCCTAAGGTCCACTTGGAAATTCAAGGGTTCACATTGAGTGCTTCAGATCAAGCACCTGTTGATATGCGTAAGGTTATAGGTTTTACTTTACGATTTTTCATATAATATTATCAGCTATATAATAATATCCGATGTATAATTATGAGATATATCAACGCCAACTACGATAATCAACATTTGCCGCATACAACATATTTCCGATAAGGCCTCTCTCTCTATCTCTTTCTCTTTCTCCCCCCTTCATAGCTGAAACCTTAGCTAATATGTGTTTTTCCAGCTATTTCTTGAATGAACCCACACTATCTACCCACTGTGTCTATCTATCCAAACGATGCGTAAGTGTGTCAAGGTTAATTAATGGCTAGCATACTCTATAAGTCATCAGCATTACAAGCCAGCTCGCTTACAATGGAGCACATTCTCCAAAGCTGTTACGTGTTTTGGGTTGACATTTTTAACGACGTTTTATAACTAATAAAATGTGCTGGACTGATTGTGGAGTCAAGGGTTTTTGGACTAAGTTCGATGGACGTGTCTGAATACTTTTGGCTTCTCTTATCAAGCGTAAGGCCCACACGCCCGTCTGCAATGGAACGACAAGTGGTCAGTAAATGTAGCTAACAAGCTGTCAACGGTTATACATACACGTAGTTCCCCCTACTTTGCCCGATATGCGTTCCAAAACCGTGCGACTAATCTGGCACGAGCGCCATATGACGCGAAGTGCAGTAATGGAAGCAGCTAGAAGATACCCTAGCTTCTAGAAACTGCAAGAGAGAGAGAGAGAGGGAGAGAGAGGGAGAGAGAGCGAGAGAGAGAGAGAGAGAGAGAGAAAGAGAGAGAGAGAAAGAGATAGAGAATGAGAGACAGAGAGAGAGAGAGAGAGAGAGAGAGAGAGGGAATAGCTATAATAATATATATATATATTATTTATTATTATTATTTATAGTTCTTCTTCTCAGTTCTTATTTACAGTTCTTCATCTTCTTAGTTATTCTTAACTATTCTTAGACTTAAAGCTGAACTTACCTTTCGATATTTAAGGCCTATATGATCTGCTCTCAGTTTAGTATTAGTTAAGATTAGTTAAAAGTGTTTGTTGACGAGCATGAGCATGATCAGAAAACTTCAATCTGACAAACATATTCGATTTACATTTTGAAATCTTCCGCTCTGACATAAGCTGGATGTTCAAGCTAATTTAAAAAGTAAATTTATTTATTTAAGTATTCACATTTAAACATCTATAGGCATAACATATATTTGCAAATCGACTCAATGTCGCAAGGCGTGGAAATAGCTCAAAATATTTATATAGCTACTTAAAATTTCATAAATTATTTATGAAACACTAGCGAGAACTATAAAAGTCCCTCTTTATTTGCAGTTTTGTTTATTTTTATTTATTTATGCAAACAAAACTCTTTCAATATTCTGCTTTAATTTATGCATTATTTCTTCTCATGTCTATCATACCTGGCTATCTTCGTTTTATTGCAATATGTCTCGCATACCCTGTAAAGCTTATCGCCTGTGACGTCAAAGGTCGTTCTGTATAACTTATCTACAGCTGACAGGGTTCAAGCCAACACCAACAACAACATTGAAAAAATGGTTATATTAACAACAACAAGAGCAAGAGAATTATATATTAGCCAAATTCGCAGCAGGCGAATCGGTTTGAACCGGAAATCCAACGCTGGATGAACATGCTCAGCCGCTGTCGCCGTCGACGTCGCTGTCGCGCCGCGAACGTTGTCGGCTGTTCGCTTTCGTTAAGAAAAAGTTGTTAACAAATTGTTGTTGTTAATGCTGGCCGGCAGCCAGGGCAAGGCTTGAAGCGTACAAACGCCAACGCCGCACGATCAGAATAACTTTGAAGCGCGTCGCGCGCGGTCGTTCATATTGGCTGAAACTGAAACAAAGTTAAATTCATTTTATTGGTTCGTAAGAGCATTACCAACTATTGCTATCAAATGTCAATTTGTGCCTAAAGTGGAACCGTGTTAACCAATTATTCGGGCCTTAGAAAAAAGTATTAAAAGCGAAAGCACAAACAATAGCAAAAGCATAAGCAAAACCAAGAGCTACTACAAGTATGTGAAAATTTTAAATAAGAGTCAACATAACAAAATATAACAAATATATAATAAAAAGAAATAAATAAAAATAAATAATTAAAATAAAAAAATCAAATAAAATATATAATTGTTAGGACTAGCTTATTAAACTGTGTGCGTGTGTTTATTGGTGAAAAAAAAAAATAATAATAATAATACGTACTAATTTTTACATAACAAAATAAATCTAGAAATTAAAAAAAAAATAGCTACGAAAATTTAAAAAAAAAAAAA